AGGCCATCAATCATTAGGTTTGGTCTGGGACCGAACCGCAGGGATGATGATCCCCAGAATCGATTGCAGGTAGACCAATGGATATTAAAAAGAAATTCTGTGTTTTTTTCCAGGATAATAAGTAGGAAGACAGTAACCATATAGGAAGGTATTACCATAGTATCACATGAGTGAGAATCAGAAACGTCATAAATGTTTTGCACTCTGGCAGAACTGTCTACCTACCTGGAGAGTGTTCCGGGGTTCAACGTCCCCGCGGCCCAGTCCTTGACCAGGCCTCACGGTGGATAAGGGCCTGATCAACCAGGTTGTTACTGCTGGCCGCACGCAGTCCAACGTACGAACCACAGCCCATCTGATCGGGTACCGACTTTAGGTATCTGTCCAGTTCCCTCTGGAAGGCAGCCAGGGATCTATCAGTAATTCCCCTTATGCCTGGCGGGAGGCTGTTGAACAGTCTTGGGCCCCGGACACTTACTGTGTTTTCTCTTAGTGTACCAACGGCGCCCCTACTTTTCATTTGGGGGTATGTTGCACCGTCTACTCAGTCTTTTGCTTTCGTAGGGAGTAATTTCTGTGTGCAGATTTGGGACAAGTCCCTCTACGATTTTCCAGATGTAGATTATGGTGTATCTTGCCTGCACTTCAATGAGTACAGATCAAATGACTAAGCATTCCCAGTAATTAAGATGGTCTACAGAACTTATAAGTGCAGTAAAGGTTCTCTGTACATTCTCTAGATCTGCGATTTGACCTGCCATGAATGAAACTGCTGATCTTTTCTGTCTTGAATATATACCTTTGATGAGTTCCGAGTTTTTCTACTCCCAGAGCCCGGCCACAGGATAGGCTCGTCTGGTGCTTGGGTGGTCAACCAGACTGCTGCTGCTGCTGGTCTGCCGACCCACATATCCATCACTGGTACATTTTATAAATTTCGACTTACAGTATACATCTATTCTTCCTTTCCTGCATGTGTCTTAATATTTTTTTAGTCCTTCGTTATTTCCTTTCCAATCTGGGCCTGGTCTGAGACTGGGGAGCGGGGGCGATAACCTCCAAAACCATTACCAGATAATAGATGGTGAAGGACAGCAAGTTTATCCACGTTCCATTAGCCAATACTCTGACCTTTACCAGGCTGTGGCCCACATTGATCAAATAATACCCAGGTGACTATTTACTGCTAGGTGAACAGGGACAGTAGGTGTAACACTTGCCCAAAGTCTTGACCTAAGATTCGCATCCCAAACCTTCCGACAGTGTTGTGATTCCTCTGACCAGTTTCACTTGTGGCCTGTTTTACGAGTTTTCCTATGTCGTTGCAAGTATTAGTTTAGTCAAGCACTTCATTACTAGGAACGTTTGAAGTCTATTGACCTTTACAAGAGTCGCTAATACTCGCGCAAAGCCGACCAAAATCAAAGAAGGTTCGCGAGTTATGCTGACTAACTTTAACAAAACGTCTGCAATGCCTAAGCTTGATCAGAAGTTTGTTGGTCCTCATCGAGTAATTGAACATATTAATAGCAATAAGTATAAGGTTAGAGAAATTAGCACTGGTCAGTATAAAGAATCGCATTTAGATCATATGAAGTTAGTATGTGATGATAATGATGTTCCAACCCAGACTAACTCCTGACTCTGTACCCTCTACCTCTAATACTCAGCCAGACGATCAATCTGTCGTTATTCCCTTCGTACACGACAGGTATTGATAAATCTTGAGGTACCATTTGTAATTACCAATTCAGATCTGCCTCAACCACGGCATGAGTTCGTCAGTGCAACAGAGTTTGATCCTCCCAAGGATGATACCCATTCTACATATATAAATCTCACCCTAGCAGAGTTGGGGTTAAATGTAAATAACCTGTATAGATGAATAATATAGTTTACAATGTACATGTATTTCTATTGTCTGCTACAATATCAACTTATTAATGTTCAAGATTTTTTTTTGTGTGTGTGTTCACGTTCTCTCCGAATTCTGAGATTTAACAATCTAGATTTGAGTGCACCAAGTCTGCCTGTTCTGTTAAACACTTCTTTCTTTGCACATATCCTTCTTCAGAATCCGTAGATCACATGAATACAGATCGACTGATCAATCTTTTTTATCACTTCTATTGTGTAATCCCAATACTGAGTCTTATTCTATGAATTGTGCTATATCATACCTTGTAATGCATCACAGTACATTCCATTACAATAAGTTACATTCCATTAGCATTCATTCCAATATCCTTATGTATGTTCCAATGTTCAACTGTTGTGTATTTTGACACTGTATAGAATCAGCCCAAGCTGTTGTCTCTAGTTTGTATTAGCTGTATGTCAGGATGCCTTACGTTAGCGTCGCCAAGCTCTCAGTAGTAACAGTACCAGTTACCAGTAATATCAGTAGTAATGACTCGTACACCGACCGGTATTGATCCTCTGCTCCTGCGTGAATCACTGACTGTTATTCACTGTTACAGCTGACCTAGCATTTGTATCCCACTCACCCTCTAAGCATTCGTGAGTCAGTTCAAGTGAGACGCTAGGACAGACGGCAGGTCAGGCGAAGGCACTCCCCACATATTCCATCCAATATACATACTTAGCATCCTATGTGAGTGTTTATTACCCAATCCACATTTCAAAACCCCATGCGACAGTACTCCATGGAACACAGGCGAGAAAGATACATCATAATCTACACCTGGAAAATCCTAGCAGAACTGGTCCCAAATCTGCACACAGAAATCACTCCATACAAAAGGAAAAGACTCGGCAGTCACTGCAACATACCTCTAATAAAAAGCAAGGGTGTCATAAGTACACTAAGAGAAAACACTGTTTGGGGCTCAATAATATTCAACAGCCGCCCAGTAAACATAAGGGGGATTACCCAGAGGGAACTGGACAGGTACATAAAGTCAGTACCTGACCAGCCGGCCTGTGGTTTGTATGTTGAATTGCGTGTGGCCAGCAGTAATAGCTTGGTTAATCAGGCCCTGATCCACCGTGAGGCCTGGTCGAGGACCGGACTGCGGGAGCGTTGACACCTTGAACAACCTCCAGATAAGGCTTTTCTGGTGTTTGCCTGGTCAATAAGGCCGTTGTTGCTGGATGCCAGCTAGCCTACATAGCCATCACAGCCTCACTGATCTGGCATAGGGTACATGTACCTTTACCCTGGATGAGTTTCCAGTCTTGCTAATATAGCCCAGCCATGGGCCAGGCTGTAGTTGCCACAATTATATTCATATGGGAAGAACTAAACCTGTAGAGTTTTATACCAAGGAAAGGGAGGGTAGCTTTAATTTCTTAGATCAAAAGCCCTTGTAGTTAATGAGATTTAAAACCTATCGACTACACTAGGGTAATTAAAGCTGCGCGTAAACTATTCACCGCCAGACAAGAATTCTTTAATTCTTAAGTTAGGGATTAAAGTAAACTCTTAGCATATTACACATATGAAAAAATATATATATATATTATATATATATTATATTATATATATATATATTATATATATATATATGCATAAGATCAAGTAAACAGGTGATTTCAAATGACAAAACAACCACTCTAGAAAGAATAGAGAAATTCCAAGCGCTTTCGTGACTACTCACATTATCAAGGAACTATGATAGTTCCTTGATAATGTGAGTAGTCACGAAAGCGCTTGGAATTTCTCCTTCTTTCTAGAGTGGTTGTTTTGCATATATATATATATATATATATATATATATATATATATATATATATATATATATATATATAATATATATATGTGTGTGTGTGTGTGTGTGTGTGTGTGTGTGTGTGTGTGTGTGTGTGTGTGTGTGTGTGTGTGTGTGTGTGTGTGTGTGTGTGTGTGTGTGTGTGTGTGTGGTGCCGAATATGTAAAACTGGTCAATTAGAAAGAACTCATTTAAAATTAAGTCCTTTCTGAAATTTTCTTTTATACGTTTAAAGATATATTTTTTCATTAATGTTAATGTAAAAAAAAATTAATTTTGCACCAAAAGAATCTTAGAAAACTTACCTAACCTTATTATAACAAGAGCAATTTATTTTATCCTAACCCAACTAAATATATTTTAGATTTGTTTACAGTAATTTAATACTAAACAAACACAGTGAAATATATTTTTTTCGTTAGGTTCAGAATGATTTTGGCGAAATTATTCCATACACAAATTTTCACTTGTCCTGTATGGCAAGATGAACGTTGCTAAATTATTTAAGCCAAGATCGCAAGTTCTGCCTATATATATATATATATATATATATATATATATATATATATATTATATATATATATATATATATATATATATATATATCCTGTGTATGCAGGAAAGAAATGACCTACTTACAATACTCGAGGGCCGCAAGCAAACCTCTTCACCCCTTAGGTAAGCCACTTTATTACCACTTTTCACTTGTCATTTCATCGACTGGTTCGTGCAGAGTGATTCTTACCACCTGACTGAACTTATTTTCTTTCCCTTCATCGATTAATTGCATCCAAATAATATATTTCAAGGAAATGTTACCGGGGATAATACGTATATTTCAGAGGAAATATTACTGGAAATCCCAGATTATTCAACACCTTACCAGAAGATATTAGAAACACTCTAGGGACAAGCGTGGAAGTTTTCAAGAAGAAACTGAACAAGTATCTCCAACAAGAGCCAAATCAACCAGGCTGTGAGCGCTATGTGAGTCAGTGGGCCACCAACAGCCTGTTTGACCTGGCTAGCACCAGACAAGCCTGGCCCAAAACCGGGCTTCGGGAGTAAAAAAAAAAAAACTCGAAACATATCAATGGTATACCAAAGGTTGAAATATAAATCGATATAGAAAAGAATAAATTTACTAATGCTAGCACTGAAAAAACAATAGCTGGTTGCTTTAATCTTTATATATGGTCACTGAGATTAAAATATAATAACTATCTATAGTTATAGTTATTATGTGCATGTCCAGGGCAGCAGCAATACCGTGGTGCAGCGACCTGTGATACAGACGCATGCCCAGGGCAGCAGCAATAACAGCAATACTGTGGTGCAGCGACCAGTGATACAGACGCATGCCCAGGGCAGCAGCAATAACAGCAATATACTGGTGCAGCGACCATTGATACAGACGCATGCCCAGGGCAGCAGCAACAGCAATACACTGGCGCAGCAAGCAATGATACAGACGCATGCCCAGGGCAGCAAATGGTTTTGCTCATGACACACTACAGCACCTGACCTTAAGTTTTTTTTTACCTAAGCAATGCTTGCGTGTAACTCACAACACCAGCTGCTGTGGTTACTGATGGTATCTCAAGCACATTTCATTTTGCATTACGAAAACGAACTGACACGCAGCTGAACCCACGACCTCCATTACCTTAACTTTTGTCTTTCAAGGGAATGTATTCCAAGACATCTTGTTAATGCAATGACAAACAAACGTAGATTAATGTGCATTCCATTCCATTGTTGGTGTGGTTAATAACACCGAAAAAAAGCGTAAGGTACAACAGAGTTCGACTTAATAAAACGCCGGGTTGAGGTAACGACAGCGACAAGCTTGGGATTATATTTAATCTCAGAGTACTGAAACCACAAGCCTAAGGGCCCAGCTGCGGTCTTCCCCAGGTAAAATATTGCAGCCCACCAATTAGTCACTGTAATGCACTCCACCAGACTGCAAGGCCATTCACCAACAGCAAATATCTCGATGGTACATCTTAACTTGTTTTTATGAAAGACCATCGTTTTTTCCTTTGCACTTGCCTGTTGATAAATCTGGGGATCGTGGACCACGCAGCCTGTATCAGGGCTCTTCGATGCTGGCTTGATTAATCGGGCTATTGGTGCTAGTTTCAAGCAGTTCAACGTAATTATCACATCCCATCTGGAGTCAGTCCTCATAAGATGAGGCCTGTAAAGTCTTATATGATATTTACCCCATAAGTCCATGGGTACAAACTGGACACGGTGAACACGGCGAAGAAACAAAAGTCATGCCGGCGTGTGGCTCAATAAAGAGAATGGACGCAAGTGAAAGCCAGGAGCACACGGCTCCACCTTGTTGCCAAGTGTAAGTGTATACCGTGTGTGTGCACGCTAACCTGAGCCCCCTCCCTTCTGATGATCACCCTCTGCCACTCCTCCTCCACACTCAGTGTGGAGTGCACACTAACCTGAGCTCCTCTTCAGTTCTCGTTGCTGATGACAGTAGTAGTCGATGGTAGCAACAAGATACTTTTAGCAAAGAAACTTTTACACACATATACACATAGTTTTAAGGAGAGTTACGACAAGGCTCTTAGAGCATGGAGAGTGTGGATCTAGTAGCGACTAGCGAAGAGGCGGAGCCATGAGCTGCGACACAACCCCTGCAACCACAAATAGGCGAGCACATGTACGTACGAACGTTTCAGTCACTAAAGGTACTTTTGCTATATTCCTTTCTACGAAGGAACAGAGCAGTCATTATTCCACAACCCCTGCAACACTTCCATCACACTCCATGAGCGCTGGCATGCACGTTCTTCTCATGAAACCTCTGCATTATTCATCTGGAGGTCATGCTCTTTGGTGAAGCTTGTGTTATACATTATGGATTACCACCACCGCACAACTTCATGTATTATTTCTCTCTGACCTGCTCCTGTCTTCAAATGCATTATTTGTAGTCGATTTAGACAGTAATTCTACTCTCGCAGCCTGCCTACAATTCAGACTTTCAATGACTACCAGATCATCCATGCAATTACTATTCCTCACCCGCAGGTCCACGTGGTCGCCACATGTGTGTGTGTGTGTGTGTGTGTGTGTGAATAATATATATATATATATATATATATATATATATATATATATATATATATATATTATATATATATATATATATATATATATATATATATATATATATCCTTTCCACCTCCATGACTGAAGTCCGACAAACCTGATTCCCTGAATCCCTTCATAAAAGTTACCCCTGCTCACACTCCATCGTGTCCTTTAAAAACCACCTTTCTCCATTTACTGTTAAACAAGCTCACACAAGCCTGCTGGATACTCAAGCCCCTAAAAATTCAAAGGCTCCTATACCCCCTTCCTCCAACAGTTCCTGGAATATCCCCCTAACCCTACCTTTCACCAAAGATTTATACACCTTTTACGTCATCTTATCCCCTCTCAATTTCTCTACAGGCCTAAACCCTCTCAACAACCCTTCCTCGGCCATAAGAATTGTACTCTTGGTGATCCTACATTGCCTTTTAATTCTCTACGAGTCTACATGATAATCACATCACACACAGCTCTCAAGGATGACATCCTCAATGCCTCTAGCCTCCTCGCTGCAGTGTTGAAAACTCATCACACAATCATATAAAGGCGCTGGTACCACTATACTCTGGTACATTCCCCTCCCCTCCTTTTTTTTGCCTCCATAGATAAACTTATATTTCTATAAATACTTAAACACACCACCCACTTTTACCCCCCCTCCTCTATTCTATGATTCACCTCGTCTTTCACAGACCCACCATATATATATATATATATATATATATATATATATATATATATATATATATATATATATATATATATATATATATGGATTCCCACCCCATATGGGTAGTGGGGGGATGATGGTAGGATGGGGTTGGCACCGACCACCAACCCAGTCTAAGGGTAACCGTGGCCCGTGACACCTACGATACTCTGAGACCTCTCTCCCTGCTTTGGTTGCTCCCTTGCAACATTGCACAGCTCCTGATGACGCACTGAGAAGTGTGAAAGTACTTGAGCTAAAGATTTCCACCCCTATGGCTTGTCCTGCATAGTTAAGATCGCCCGTCTGCGATTGTTTGCATATATATATATATAAATATATAATATATATATATTTTATAATATATATTATATATATATATATATATATATATATATATATAAGTAGAGAGAGAGGGGGGGGAGTGAGTTACTATTAGTATAGTATTGTAAATTTCGACTTCACACTAAAGCATTCTTTTAGTAAGCTGTATAGTATAAATATAATGAGATAAAGACACACCAACAGGCGCTTTTTGCTACTCCCACCACTCTTCCCAGCCATAGGGTCAATGGTATAACTATACGGATCATATGACAAAGACAAGTGTCAGGTGATTTTCCCAAGCAAATACAAATGAAAAATGCAAAAACGCATACGTGCACGCTTGTAAATGAGTGAGAGGAGGAATGGGGAGCCGCAGGAGCCGTATCCGAGAGCAAATTATTAAGAAGAGAAGAATTCCGAGAAGTGGTACCTGGAATGGCATCCCCAGTATGTGGTAACTCTCTCGACTCGCTTCCTGTCTTTGTCCCTCCTACAACGTACACCCACCAACGTCAGTACCTCTTCCTTGGATCACCTCAATACCGATAACCCTTCACTAGTGGGGCTTTCCCCACACTTGGCTGCCAAATGGAATTCTAAGAGTTGAGAGAGAAGCGAGGGAACACCCACTCTGACGGCGAAGGCTGGGCAGTAAAAAAAAAAAAAAAGGTAAGGCATAATTTATTCCATCTCGAGTGATGATGGTTCAGGATGAAGGGAAGGCCGCCACAAAATCTCTTAACCGAGACCATAATGAATTACCTGACGTGCTTTTGTAAAACTATGAGACATCTATTTCTCCATGCCCGTCTCTAAGCTTGTCTGTCTGGCTGCTGTCTGGCTGTCACTGTCTGTCGTTTGTCACTGTAGAACAGCAGACTAAAACCTCACGGAAAATGTATTATAATTTTAACACGTCGACCGTCTCCTACCGAGGCACAAATAACTACAGGGCGTCCGGGACTCCCTGTAGTTATTTGTACTTTCCCATATTATTATTACATTTGTATTGTTAATTTTAAATCTCATGGCACAAGATGAAATAAATTAGCTACCAGGATACACCCCCCGTGGTAAATAACTAACAAATTGTCTAGATAAAGATGGGATGATTACAGGTAAATGCGAAGGAATTGGAGTATGTAAATGCCGACAAGGTGAACTAAATGACAATCAGATGCAGTGACTTGATAATACACTATGTAGGTGACATAACGTCTTTAACAAGTGTCCACTGTATCTAAGTGCCATTTACTCCAGGTACGAACAAAAAATTCTAGTAAATGGAAGGCAACATATGGATACAATCTGCCAAAGAAATGCCGCGAGCTCCTCACAAAAAAAGCTAAATGTTCAGCCAACTGAAAACGTTTCTGCATAAAAATCTGATATTATTATTGAAATAAAAGATCCACTGCTCAGTTTTCCATTTGAAGGGAACCAGGCGAGTGAAGCCGGCCATGAGAACATCCTTACAATTTTATTCAAAACTCTAGACACTCGCCAAAATTTCTTACGTGGTAATCAGGTGTCCTGTCATCCTCCTTTCTCCATGAGTAGTCAGAACTCCTCAGTTCTGGCACTGGTCTGATTGTAGAACACAAAATGAAGTTTCCTTGACGCTGGTGAGAGACTCTTGATCTAGGGAATTGGATCTGTGCTCCAGTTCCCTGAAATGAGCACATCCCCCCCACAGGCGCTGTATAATCCTACGGGTTTAGCGCTTTCCCTTTGATAATAATAAAAATAATAATAATAATAATAAATGTAGAGCACAAATACAGTTACAATATATGCAACTTAGTCAATAAAGGATTCAATCGTGTCTGTATCTCATACCCATCCACCAAGTCTGGTTGTATGAGCACATTCCTCTGGCTGTTGCGAAGCGTTGGGAGTAGGCAGGGGAAACGTTAAGGTGCTAATAAAAACTTGTTTAGTTAAGTGGGTTTTTTTTCAGTACAAGGCACACTTGGTTTAAACACGGAGGCGATGTTGAAAATCAACTTCCTGGCATTTTCAGACACAGTTTACAGAGCTGCAACTTTTCTATTTTCACTTTTATTTACAGACTCCAAGCAACTTTTGACCTTATTACATTTTATTGAACTATTAAACCTTTTACCCACGGTTTTCTCAGTTATTATTATATTTACAGTCCGTTGTCCGCCAAGTATACCTGTGAACGGTTTCGAGGGTATTTCTACCCTAGGAGCTTACCTAGAGGCCTGGCTTCCGTATTGACTGCCTGATCTCTGTTATATCTTTGATATACCTTTGAAGAGTTTCGAGAGTTTCACTACTCTTGGAGCCCGGCC